CCGTAATGCAAGCCTATTTTTCAAACTTTCGTCGTCCGTGGGATTTGAACCCTAGACCTGCTACTTGGAGAGGGTGAGAACTTGACCACTTCACTAAGCCACCACACCCCTGACTTATGAATTTATGATTGAAAATTAAAATTCAATTTACAAATTTATAGTTGAAACTTAGTATATTATATATATACAGCATAAATTAAGGTCGATTTTAATTTCGTCGAATTTTAAATATGCTAAATATAACATTCGGCCTGGTCAAATCTTGATTGTTCTACCAGTATATTGAGGTATCAAAAAAGGTCTTTATCATATCTGGAATTGTATTGTAGAACTTACTTTGTATTCTAATTTTCATATATCATAATCGGTATATAATTAATATAATTAACGACTATAACGTTATTTTGAATTGTCTAGAAGTAACATAAAATCATGATCAATCTTAAAATCATTATGAATTGTGAATTGACTTTTAATATACCAAATGTCATTGATTTTCTTTTTTCAATAGTATAAAGTCAAATTTTTTATAACATATCGAATATTATTGATTTTCTTTTTTAATAGTAACATATTGGCGCATAACAGATCGATTTTTTCAATAGTATAAAGTCAAATATTGACTTATAATATATCGAAAGCTATTGATTTCTTTTTTATATTGATGTATAACTGATCGATTTTTTTTTCAATAGTATAAGTCAAATTTACATATTGGCACATAACAGATCAATTTTTTCATAGTATAAAGTCGTATTGATGTATAACTGATCGATTTTTTTTCAATAGTATAAGTCAAATTTACATATTGGCGTATAACAGATTAATTTTTTCAATAGTATAAAGTCAAATATTGACTTATAACATATCAAAAGTTATTGATTTCTTTTTTGTATTAAAGTATAACTGATCAATTTTTTTTTCAATAGTATGAGTCAAATTTACATATTGGCATATAATGATCGATTTTTTTTTTAAAGTCAAATTTATGTATTGGCTTATAACATATCGGAAGTTATATTTTGGCACATAACAGATCTTTTTTTTTTTCGTCAAATTTACATCTCATAATATATCATTCATAGCAAAGTCAACTTTTGTTAAGCGATCGGAATTTAAAAATCATTTATATATACAACCATTTCAAACAGTTTTTTTTTTTAAGAAACTTCTCTTCTCTTCTTTTCTCTAAATTTCTCTTTTCTAAATTTCTTTTCTCAAAATTCTCTTCTCAAAGTTTTTTTTTTCGCTAAATTTTCTCTTTCAAAATTTTTTTTACTTCTCTTTTTAAATTTTTCTTTTCTTCCCTTTACTTCACTTCACTTCACTTCACTTCTCGAATTTCTTTCTTTTTTCAAATTTTTCTTCTCTTACTAAATTTTTCTTTTTTTCTCTCTTACCGAATTTTTTTTCACTTCCTAAATTTCTTTTTCTAATTGAATTTCTCTTCACTTCAAAAATTTCTCTTCACTTTTTGAATTTTTTTCTCTTCCCGAATTTCTCTTCTCCCGAATTTCTCTTTTTTTGAATTTCTCTTTTCTTATTGAATTTCTCTTCACTTCTCGAATTTTTCTTCTCTTCTTTTATCAAATATCTCTTCACTTCCCGAATTTCTCTTTTCTTATAATTTCTCTTCTCTTACTGAATTTTTCTTCACTTTTCGAATTTCTCATTTCACTCTTTTCATATCGAATTTCTCAATTTCTCTTTTCTTATCGAATTTCTGGAATTTCTCTTTTCTTATCAAATTTCTCTTTACTCCCTTTCTTATTGAATTTTTTTTCACTTCTCGAATTTCTTTTTTCAAATTTTTTTTCTACTAAATTCTCTTTTGCCATGGCTAAACCAAAAAGAGTCCGACAAACAACACCCCCAAGCCAATGTCCACCTACTACAACACATCATCAATTTAACAATACACCTTCAACTCCAAAAACTCCAACTTAACCTCAATTTTCTTCGACTCCAACTTAACCTCAACCTCCTTCGACTTCAACTCAACCTCAACCTCCTTCAACTCCAACTCAACCTCAACCTCTTTTAACTCCAACTCAACCTCAATCTCCTTCGACTCCAACTCAACCTCAACCTCCTTCAACTCCAACTCAACCTTAATCTCTTTCGACTTTAACTTAACCTCAATCTCCTTCAATTCCAATTCAACCTTAACCTAATAATTCATCTTCGACTCCAATTCAACCTTTGATCCAATTATCAGGAAATGTAACTCCTGTTGAATCTTTTACTCCTATCCTGAGGTTTTCTGTGAGAACAAATAGAAGCAGAAGCAGAAGTGGTGAATGAACCAAATCTTTGGCCAACTTTGATCTATTGGAAAGGAGTAGAAGACTGGAGAATGGTAAATCTACTGGTAGAATTTAAATA